TTCTTCTCTGAAGCTCTCTGAAAATAAGACTTTCCTGGTCAAATTCCTTTGTATCTAGAAATTTCTCTTGGTGATTCCCAGTGAACACTTCTGTATTAAAGCTTCCAAGGGGTCCTAGAGAAAAGAAACTTGTTTGACTTTTCTTACCCTAGCATGTCTTCTGAGGCAGTGTTAGTTGGAATGGAAGTTTTTGAGCCATAGTGCCTGGCTTAGAACCCTGACACCTCTGGGTAATTTTGGGCAAGATACTTAACTGTTCGTTAGTAGTTGTTTTTTTTTTTTTTTTGTAAAATGGGGATTAAAAAGTCAGGACTTCCATTGGCCCATATGGTTCCTTTGTGTTAATGAGTAAAACTGTTTCTTCTGCAAAAATCAAGGGCCCAACCTGAACAACTGCATGTGGTATCCTTGATAAATGCACCTAGTTCATATAGTTTTCAAGATTAAATAATTTAGTGTATATAAAGTGCTCAAGCAGTACTTGGTATGGCGTCAGTACTCAATTAGTAATACGTATTATGTAATACGAGGTAAACATCTTAAGAACTGGGGGTTGGTGGTATGTAATTTTGGGAAGTGCTGGATTGAATGGATTAGTACGAGGTGGTTCAAGATGATTATCCTTGTTTGAAACTGGGTACCATTATGCTATAATTTCTGAGTTCAATAATGGCCTCACAATTTATCAAACATAACATTTGATGTTATCACTCTTAAAAAGGAGAATCTCATCAAGAATTTTAAACATGTCGCTAAGTTTTGACCCAGTAATTCTGCTCCTGGTCATATCCTTAAGAGATACACGAGAAATCTATTGTAGGTATATTTGAAAAAATTAACCAGCAACATACAGCCTAATCATGATGATGTAAAACTATGCAGAACATTAGGAGCGACTACATCAAAATGTGATAAAGTGGTTGTTTCTGGGGGGAGTGAATTTTCATTGCTGTATTTTCTTATTTTTCTATATTTAAGATTTTTTACTCTCATAATCAAGAAAAATAATCTTTTTTGTTGTAAAAATTTATTTTTTATATCATTCATGCATCTGCCTTTCATTCATAGTGTTTCTGACATAGAGAACATTTTATTCTTTATGTACTAAATCTTTCCATCTTAAATTTCATGGTTTCTGCCTATGGTGGCATACTTAGATTTTCATACCTCCAGAGGATATATTGCTGTATAGTCTCCTATATTTACTTCAGTTCTTCTATATTTATTTACTTATTCTCTATCCTATTTACTTAAGTTCTTTTTTTTTAAGAAAAATAATGTTCAAAAACAATTCTCACCTGCTCTTTGAGGCATACATGCACACATTTGTCTGTCTGAACGCACTTTCCCTCCTTTCCGCACACCTGCCAGGTGCTCTCAGGGTCGGAATGGGGCAACATGCTGCTTTGGGAAGGCGGCCACATCAAAATCGAGCTGTGTCGAGCTGCAGGCAAGCCTTGTCACCAGGGTCCCATTAACCAGATAATGCTGGACGAGGGTGAAGTCATCACCATTGGGTCAGATGGATGTGTTAGGGTAAGTTTTCTTTACACTTGGACAGTAGCACCTACATCAAAGCCTGGCGGATCACCTTGTGGCTTTTAGCAGATTTTTATTTCTCTCAAAGTTCACGCGATGAAAGAGATCAGTGGTCATTTACTCCCAGGGCCAGGGCCAACTCACTTTAAATAATGCTTCTCTTGTGGTAAATATTTAAATTCTAGTCAAAATTCACTTACAGCATCTTAGCACTGAAA